GGATTGAACTCAGGTGTACTTGACCACTGACCCACATCCCCAGCCCTATTTTGTATTTTATTTAGAGTCAGGGTCTCACTGAGTTGCTTAGCACCTCACTTTTGGTGAGGCTGGCTTTGAACTTATGATCCTCCTGCCCCAGTCTCCTGAGCCGCTAGGATTACAGACATGTGCCACTACACCTGGCTTTAGCAAATTTTTAATGAAGAGGTCTTATACACAATTTGTTAAATTCATGCCTTGGTATTTTAAAAGTTCATGTTATTATTGTAAATGGCATTATTATTTAATTTTCTAGTGCTTGTACAGTCTTTCCTTGGGATCTATGGGGATTTAGTTCCAGGACTCTCATGAGTAACAAAATCTGCAGGTGCTAAAGTCCCTTACCTCAAATGGCATCATATTCACATAGAACTTACACATATCCTTCTGTACATTATATTCTCTTTAGATTACTTATAACATCTAATATCATATAAATGCTATATAAATAGTTGCTATACTGTATAATAGGGGAAAAAAGTCTGCATATGTTCAGTATAGTTGCAATTTTTTTACATTTTCCATCGGTGGTAGGTTGAATCCATAGATAGAGAACTACAGATGTAGAGTGTCAATTCTATGCAATTGGTACATAGAAATAGAATTGATTTTTATATTGAAGTTGTATCCATCACTTTTCTTATATTTAATTATTAATTGTAATACATTATCTATACAGTGTTTTGGATATTCTAGCCACATCCTTATACCATCTTACTCTTCAATGCTTATGTCCTTTATCCTGTGATTTTAGACTATGATTTTTCTCTTTTTGATTACATAGATTGATTTTTGAGAATTCCAGGTACAAAACAAAATGAAACCATAACCAAAAACATGTGCATAAGTCATTCAGCCAGTGTACTCTTCCAATAGATATTTATTAATATCTCCTACGTGTATTATTGGGTGTTGAAGACATAAAGATGAATCAAGCAGTCATTACCCTGGAGGAGCTCACAGTCTAGTAAAGATAGAAATAAAGAAAAACAAGTGTTCAAGCAGAAAATGGTCAAAACACTATAAAAAAGCTAACAACTGACTCTTTTTGAAGAAATCAGGAATAGCTTTAGATTGTTTATGATGGGCCTCCATAAGATAATGAAATGAGCTAACATTTATTGGATATTCACTGGGTCAGGCACCCTGTTCAGCATTTGCACATGCATTATTCTATACATTTTTAAAAACAGCTCTATGAGGTAGGTACTCTTATCATCCTCCCTTATCAGATGAGGCTTAGAGAGATTAACTGCCTTGAATGGGAGAGACTGGTTCAAAGGAGGCCAGACAATAACAAACACATCCATCAAAGTTATCTTCCCAAAGAACAGAGTGGCTTTCTTCCTCTCCCTAAGGATAAAATCTGAATTAAGGCAGTTCTAGTACCACGAAGAGATGGAAGCCCGTTTTAGGGAGGCTTCAGAGGTGTAAGCTTGGGTGAATCACTGCAGGGCTAGAATGCTAGGCCTGTTCTGTGTTGCCAAGGAAGGGTCACTCACTAATGAACAGCAATGGTGGTCTGAGCCTGCACTGAGCAACAGAAACAGCTGTCTCTGCCACCTTTGGGACAATTGTAGACCCTGTCTAACCTCAACTACAGATTTGAGGCAGCTGAGGGAAGAGGTCACAGTGGGCATGAAGAAAAAGAGCATTGAGTGAGGAAGAGCTCCAGAGCCTACAGATGAGAACAACAAACCTTAGGCTGTTTGCCAGTGAAAGCAGAGAGTTTTGTTCACCCATCATTTTCAAAGTATTGTAGCTCTCTCAAAGATCTTTTTATTCTGAGGATTTGAGTTCCCCAGTTCCTAAGGAGGATAACATGGAGGGGTCTGGTTTGAGTAAGGGTTGTAGAGTTCCTTGAGTTGAGGAGCACAGAAAATTTGAGAGAAACAATACAGAGTTTAAGTTGACACACTTCACAACTGAGATGGCAATGGGAGAGAAGGAGGGGCCTCGCATGGGTAAAACTGCCATGGCAGATGGTGTCCAACAAAAAGACAAAACATCGAGGGTAAAAGAAGGCGACATCAGTAACAGGGATAGGAAAGAACTCCAA